AATTATAATAATTATAATATTTATTATTAATCTTTATGTATTAACAAAACTTTAAAACAAAAGCAGCCAAAAAGGGTTTTCTTTCACTTGGATGTATACTAACTATATCTAGGCATTCAGAATGTAGCAAAGACTACATTAGTGGAAATACACGTTGAGTACTAAAGCTTATGACCCTAGATTCATTTCACCGTCTTAGGCACACTTCAGTTTGCCCAGAAAGATAACATATCGACAGTGTAATGCTGACTCAATTGATAAAACAGACGACGCTTCATAGGAGAGTAACTTCCCATAGAAAAACATTGTATTACTAAAGTGTGAAAAGTGTATGTAAAATAATTCATAAACTGTTTTAAAAGACACAGAGCAAATACAGACATTGCATTTGGCAAAGAAAGTTGTTTCGAAGAACATACTGTTTATTTTAAACTAGATTTTACCTCAGTGTTTTTATACGAAAAGACAAAACAGAGTTGAACAAAGGTGCCACCTAGTGAAAACAACTGGCAACGCATCACAACCTACATCAAACTCAGAGGTGGTGGTTCTGTTATCAGGTGAACTGAGGAGGTCAAGCACAAGAAACAATATTAGCATAAGCCTTGGGCACTTCGATGTCTACACTGATATTTTCAAATGAGGTGAAGAGCAGGGTTGTCACGCTCAATTCCTGGAAGGCCTGAGTAAAAATATGGAACCAAATGAAAGATCAGTTTCTCAGCAGGAAATCCCACTACTAATCAATCAATCTATTCTACCTTTTATATCCTAGAAAAAAAAAAAACAGACAAGGAGAGGTCCCTCCTTCCCATTCCTGAGAAGCCCTGACATTTGCATATCTAGTTTAACTTAACAGTTTCCGTAAACATATGGTTGCTGAAGGCTGTTCAAGCCGTCCAACCTTATTCAAAACAGACATACCCCGCCTCTATAAAACAATATTTTTATTGAGTAAAGACTCAGTTAACAGTTCTGTCCCTTTCAATAGAAAGGAACAGAATTCCATGGAAGAGGATTTCGCACTGCAAAAGAACAACAGGAGACACTAAGTATGTACTCATCCCTCGATTTCCAAACACTAAGTTCACAAAACCTTGTTGCAAGTACCAGCTTCGTTTCACACAGGTACGAAGGTACAAAGAGACTTTCACCACAACCAAGGTGCGTCCTTTGCAGCCACACGAAAAAAGTTATCTATAGTGTGAACTCCCACAGCATAGTTCCTCAATGCGTCTGCATTCTACAATTTTATACATCTTATTTATCTTATTAACTACTGTACTGGAGCAAATATGGTAATTAACTTTCACAAACCAGCAAAAGTGTTCTTACTTTGAAGATTCATTGCTCCGTTAGCATAAAAATAAGTATTATTGGGTGATATTATAGAGTTCAGAAACAAACCGGAAGCTTTTGCATGTAAACGAATGGGTTTTTACACCTTACAAACTTATACGCCTTCCAAAAAGTTTTGGAATCGTTTCTGTGGATTGAGGAAAGGGTGATATCAAGCATCAAAAAGAAACTCCGCTTAGAAATGCAACAAATTCAGAAAGAAATGTACAGGTCTTCTGTCCAGACCCAACCCGCTGATCTCGGTGAGGCGCCGTGGTTCCTGATCTGTCACTGATGGCTGTAAGATCTTGGCCAGGTTAGAAATCGCAGGGTGTGAGTGCCATTTTTTACAACACATACGCTGCCTGGGTATGAACAGTGACGGATTTGTTCTGCTGCTTGGCTGTACAAAAACAACGGCAGCACTGGCGAAGCCTTACCATCGTATCGTCCGGAGGAGTCGCAGCTCTTCTGTGGTGTGGCCACTCGCAAGAAGATCTGTTGCCGCCAAGAGTGCCTGCGGATCCTCATGGGGCTGTCGGAGCCATCGCGTCCTGGGCTGGACCTGATGTCCAGGTCACTGCAACAAGAAGCAGAATCTGAACCCTGGGGGCTCACCAGCAGCCCTAGCTGGACAAACTGGGCAATGAAGGAGAGTCAATTCAGCTGTGAACACAGGACGCGCCAAGGTCATCTGGAAACCAGGAACAAAACGCCTTTGTTGTCCCTTGCTCCCCCTACTTCACCACCCATTGTCCCTTCCTGGACGGTTTTTAATTATCCACAATAAAACTACAATCTCTACGGCAGACGAACTCTTAAAGCTCAATCGTGAACGGCACAGAGACTTCTGTCACAAGTTTGGATTTCCAGGACTGGCTCGGTTTCAACTATTCGCAAGAGTTAATGTTTGCCCGAGAACCCTGCCCAGCGACTGGGTTAGATTTTATACGAAAAAAAACAGAGCTTGAGCCTAATCCATCAAGGCAGAGACGCAATAAGCTGAGAAAACATGTCTTTGAACTGTGGGAGAAACATACACATGGGGGGAGTGGACCTGAGGAAAACATGCAGACTCCACCCTGAAGGCACAGAATCTAGCGTTAGACTAAGAACTGCAAGACGGCCCCCATACTGCCTTACTTCATACTCATTTGATCAATGTACTCATGGATTTCTCTTTTGGTGCGTTTCATTCTTTGACATTTAAGTGGTTTCTCCTATAATTGAGGGAACGCCTTGGCTAGGTCACTTGTACATTGATGAGCGATCTCTGGTCCCTCCAGAAAGCAAATCTAACGTGTTAGACCTTCAAAATAATTAGTGGTTAAAGAACTGAAAATAACAGAAACAGATTAAACTGCACCATTAAGTGTACTCAGAATGGACAGACACCTCAGAACCAGGAGTCAGCATCCATTTTATTTTCAGAGGCACCAAGTAGAGAGCACACGGGAGAGAGTTTAGATACAACCCATAAGGAGATCCAAAGGAGTTGTATTCTCCACGAAGGCTGTTTCAATCAGCTCCCATACCTTTTCTTCTTCTTAAAGTCACAGGGCTTGTTCTCATCTACCGGAGCCAGAAATTTCAGAAAGTTGGGAACAGAGGAGGAGGAGTGCAGCCGAGCACGCAGGCCGGTAAGGTGAGAGGTGCTGAGAGCACTGGTGGAGAGAGCGCAGGTCAGAAAGACAGAGTCGCACGAGGAAGACAGGCTCAGAGAGCAGAGCAGACATTCTGTGCATCACTTTTCATGCAGGAGTGAAGTCTGAAATACCAGCCCTGCCCCTCAGAAGAGATGGAGGCTATTGAAGGTGACCTGTTCTTTACTGCACATGTAAACACTGTAAGAGACATGTTGGCGCATGATGGCTTTTGTTTAATGTGGAATGGGATAAAAACCTGAATTTTCAAAAAAATAAAAACAGCAATGTCCTTAATAGTTTTTTCTTCTAAATTGCAATGCCAGTAGTGATTTTTCTGTTCAAATTATGTTTTAATAACAGATTTTAATGTATTGCTTAGCTTACAGAAACTCCTAAAAGGTATTAGGTGGAATGGTGGAGGTATGAAAATGTCAAAAAAAAACTGAGATGGATGTGCAATGGAAAATCATCACCTATCTAGACACATCTAGACTTGGGGAAGATCAATGTGAAAAGGGAACTCAGTTGAAAGAGTGTTGATGCAGTTATTTTCTTCTTTCAGTCGTTTAAAGCGAAAAGCTGCTTATTGTGATAATTTGCAATAACACAGTTAAGACTGGAAAATATGCAAGTTCTCCTGTCATTTTTGTGCATTGAAACCATCTAATTTTCTTAAAGCTTCCTGTGCTGCCAGAAGTGCCCATTGGTTTCACTCCTGATTTCAGCATTTTAAAAGACAGAGAACATCTAAACAGAAAATGAAGGCTCTCAGTTGTTAACTATCAATTGAGAACGTGTATACTACAATAACATGTATTGGGAGCTATATAATACAACAGAGTAACCATGTGTTACATGTATACCTCGGTGTACATCAATTGGAAATTGGAATTATAATGCTTCAGGTTTTGTTCTGCACGCGCAAGAACATCTTTAACTGTACAAAGTCTTGCAATCTTTTAATCCATCTTTGTTCATTCCCTGCACACCGCAACTATCTGAATGCAGCAGAAAAATCACACAAAAAAGTTGTCTAATCCAGGGAACAGTTTTTCAGACTTGAAATACATGATGTGTTTTGACAGCTGGGTAGTAATACTCAAGACAGCATGTAAAGCTTTTGCTGTACAGCCTAGACAATTGGCATCAGACAGCCAATTTTAGCTAGTCGTAAAAAGCCGTATATCTCTTCTGAAAAGAGGGGTGAGAAGGACAGGCATCTAGACTACTGGCGAGCAGTCTCACCTCCTCTTCAACATGCGCCCAGTTTGCTCCCCGCCAGTACTCTGCTTTAGGGATTTGAAAAAGTTGGGGGAGGAAACGGAAGGCATCAGGTGTGCCGGAGGTGAGGGCGGAGGTGGTGGAGCACAGTGGTTCTTCTCTTCAGCGTCTGGTATGTTCAAGCTAACAGCCCCCAGCAATTCAGAGAGGGAGGAAAACCACACAAGGTTTAGAAGCCTAGGAAACATGCAGAGCTGTTGCGAAAAACGGAAAACGTTCAGACAGGAGAAGGTGGCGTGACACAACAGAGAAGAAATTTCATTGTAGAAGCGCAAGACATGAATGTAGAAAGTATTTCTGTTTTCAAAGATGGTAATAAAAAGATGACTGTTCAATCTACTGTGTTGTGGAAACACCTCCGCTGCCATTTATACCCTGATGGTCCAATGGCTTATTTTCCATAGATCAATACTTATTACTTACTGTACATCCCTGTTTCACTGCTAATCTGCATATCCCTTGATGCCTACTTGCACAATTTTTCACAATTAGAATTCAGATTGACTCACAAACATGAGTTTCTATGAATTTTTCCTTGGGATGTCCTATAAAGCACAGGAGACTCATGTTTCAGAGAAATTACCACCCCTCATTCACCATCTGGACAACGAGCTGGGGTTGATACGTTTTAGATCTCTTGACTTGACATGTTCCAAAGAGCATTTAGTGAGAAATACGTTTCTGTGTTTTCAATCACATAACACTAGGTACGGCCACACAGAAAAGAACACAAGGAATGTGGGATTTGTAAATAAATGGGTGGTGATATTTATTCTGTTGAGGTGAGGAGCAAGCTGTAAATTATAGGATAGCTTATCTTGTATAAATCAGTTGTCCTTGTTCTTTACCCTCAGACTTTCCCTGCATGTATGAAAAGGTGTACTGACAGGAAAACTGACAGTCCAAGACTTTTCTCCAATTAACATCTTATTACTGTACAACATTGCAGAAACTACTTTACTAGAACAGTTACTCCTCTCAAGCTCACGTTCTGTTCTATGAGGAAATACAGAAAGATTTGAAAAATTCACCAGAACATTTACTGCCACTTTCTGGAATGAGGGAGTTTAAGCTGCATCTACTGTACAACTGATTACAGTAATGGAACAGGTAAAAGTTGATTCCACGCTGAAAGGAAAAGAAAAGAGACAACGTTTTGGCTGTGGAGCCTTCTTCGGGTGTGTAACTTTTTTCTTTTCCTTTCAGCGTGGAATCAACTTTTACCCGTTCCTTTGCAGCCTACGCATGCTGACACAGCTCCCTGCTCAAACTAACAGTAATGCATGGAAAATGACTGAATGGTAGTGCCAAACTACAGACACCTGACCACAAGGGGTCACTCGTGAGTGCGGCACCAATGGTCTACTACACCCAAGGCAACCCCAAACGCGCCCGGTCAGTCATGTACCGATTCTCTGAGTCTCTAACCACAGCTGGCTAGTGGCTTGGATCGGAACCAGCAACCTCCAGGCTCAAGGTCCCATCCTGCTTCTTCAGGAGATTTTAAGAGAAGGGCCGGATTCTAATTTCTGGCCTGAGAACCCCTGTCCAGGCTCAGACCTCATAAGATCGGGCTTTGCGGGAAGATTTTGCCATGGCAACATGGAGGAACCCTTTTTGTGGCAGGGATGTTTTGACAAAAAGGTAGTTCTACCCCCCTTTACCGTTTCCCCAAAAGCTGGACCGAGCTGTGGGAACGGAGAGGGTGGCCTTTCGGGGGCCCGTACTTGCGCTGGTGGGGCGTCTCGGTGCCGACGGAGTGGTGCCTCAGGAGCTTGGGCTTGGCCACGCTGGGGGACTCCTCCAGGGCCTGCGAGGGCGGCTGGTGGGAGGCGGGCAGGTGGCTGAAGGTGTTGGCCCTGCGCCTGAACGCCAGCCTCTGCAGGTCGGGGGAGGGGCTCTCCAGGAGCTTGAGGTCCCCCGTGGAGCTGTGGGCCTTCAGCGGGCTGGCCGCCACCGGCGTCACCGTCGCTTCAGAGAGCGAGGGCTCCTGAGGGCCGAACATCACCACAGACTATTAGGAGGCGGCAGCGACAGCGGAGACGGAAGAGCCACAGTAAATGAACGAAGGGACCAGATAATGAATTTAGAGCTGGACTTGAAGGAGAAACAAGAACTGCAGTGGCTGTTCAGAACCAGATCAACATTTCAACACTTAGAGGACTGTGGGAGAAACAGTAGGATTTGGTAGGAATACTGGGAACTAACAAATAACAGGTAGTAATGTGGCAATTATGTTATAGCCTAGTCAACTACCTGCTATATATATATACACACATTCTCAAAATGATACAAGGTATACCAGTTTCTTGACAGGACTATCCTCTGCATTAGAGAAGCCTATGGTTATGGTCTGTGACCCATAAGAACAGGATCAAGACTCTGCTTTTACTAGGTTTGCCCGAGATGCACCCTAGCCTGGAACAAGTCAAATAGGAAAAATTCCAGGTACTGTGCCAGCAGATCCTGAAACAAGCATGCCTTAAAAACACAGGATCCACAGCCAAACAGGACTACTTCTGGGTAACAGTCCGAGCTACACAAAATGTAACACAGACTGTTTAACAGAAATGAACAGAAAAGGATGGTACTCACAATCGTTTACCTCTTTTTATGAACACCTTGCAAAAAAATAACGATTGTGAGTGCTATGCTTTTCATCATTCTCATTAGCTCTTGCCATTTGAGGATCTAGCACCCATTACACATGATCGGAATCGCACCGAGCCGAGCACACTCAGAAACACACTTTTATAAGCTCTTACAGAACCCAGCACCCAGTTCTGAACTGGCAGTGGCTTTCTTAAGTGTTGCAGCAAATGAAAAGTGACATGAAAAATCGACTGAATTCATAAAGATGGAAGCACCGGAAACCCCAATGCAGAGGACTATCCACTCACCCTGCTGTTGCTGCTCAGTGTCGTAAAAGAGGAAGAGCTGCCAGCTTCTACACTCTCGAAGCTCTCCTTCTGACCTCTGTACCTGCTGTTTCCCTAGGAGGAAGCAACAACCCAGTTAGTTGATTCACAGTGTTAACACTCACTGGCCACTCACAGAGACAAGGTGACCGCCACCCAGTGTCAGGCCCGCTGGTGAAACAGAATCAGAATGAAACCCAAGACACCTGCAGCACACTGTCTCCGAAATTTACCTTCCAGATGCCCTCCAGAGACTCCGTCAGAGACTTCTTGGCCCGGGACTTCAGCTGTTCCAGGCGGATCCGACTGCTGCTCATCTCAGTGGGCGGATCTTCTGGCACATTCTGCGATGACTGAAAATAATCCCACTCTTGGGGGTTATCATTAGAAAATAAGAGAAATAATTCTTTTCTCTTTTAGATATTTAGATGTATTTTTCCCTAATCCCCCTACACAACTCCCCAGGATCCTTCCAGCTATTGTCTGGCATAAAACTGAAAAATGTATACAAACTAAAGCAGAACAATTTTACAATAACATAGAAAACAAGTTAACAGTAAAATGATTGACAGCAGCTGAAATGCATGATGTTAAAAAAAAGAGAGAAACAGCTGAGACTTTCTTCATTGATATTCAAGATTGAGGCAAAAAAGTGTTTAGCAGTATTGGCAGAAACCATGTGATGCCATTAAAGAATTTGTGGGAGATTTGACTATAGAATTAATAAATATGCAAAAACAACATTCTGAGCATATGAAAAAATAATGGTTAGTACTTTGCCAGAAAAAACTAAAAGATATTAGCAGTGAAATCACTTTCATCACTCTGCATAGGATAGCGTGGAGGATAGCTCTGTGGCTAAGGATCTGTGCCTGTGGCTGGAAGGTTGCCGGTTCAATCCCATGACCAGCAGAGGAATCCTACTCCGTTGGGCCCCTGAGCCCTTGAACCCTGAGCAAGGCCCTTAACCCCAGCTGCTCCAGGGGCGCCGTATAAATAGCAGACCCTGCGCTCTGACCCCAGGCTTCTCTCTCTCTCCGTCTGTGGGCCTGTGTGTCTCATGGAGAGCAAGCTGGGGTATGCGAAAAGACAAATTCCTAGTGCAAGAAATTGTATATGGCTATTAAAGTGATCTTATCTTATTGTTAAAGAGCAGCAAAGCTGATGAATCTAGATCACACTAGGATTGTCACAGAGCATCTGCCCAAACATTTCTGCTCCTTCCCATGGGGCTATAAGACAGGAACTCCAGCTCAATCATTTTTATTTTTTTTAAATTAAGAACGAAGCATTCCTTTCTTTATTTTTAATGGGTTCATTGGTGTTCTTGGGTGATGAAAGAATTAACATGCCCAAATAGATATTTCTCTAGCCTCTTCGCTTAATAGCTCTCCTCCCTGCTCTTATGTACTAGCGATTTGTGAAAGCACCCAGTGGCAATTTGGTGCCCAGTGCACAATAAAAAAAATCTATTGTATGCATTCCCACACTGAGGTCAATATTAGGCGGAAGTAATCATTTTTTGAGGCTGCAGCAGATTGCAGGACTGAAGGTGATGCCGCGCTTTTATCCTTTAATCTATTGAATTCTGCAAGGCAGAAGCACATAACTCTCAGAGATGGTGTGAGGAGCGCTGTTCCTCTTGTGTGATTCTAGCAGACCCTCAGAGCTCCTCCAGGCACTAACCTGCTTCAGATCCCCATTATTGCTGTGCACATGGGTCCTCTGTCTCTCCTCATAGAGCAACCTCAAGTTTGACATCACCAGCTCGTTTTCCTCCTGCTCGGACTTTGGTCTCGCTTTCTGAAGAGGAAAGACAACACAATTAATCCTGCGTGCTGTTTGGTGTGACCGAACCGTACACAAAAATGGCCACTCTCGGAAATGTGCCGAATGCACATTAGATAGATAGATAAGACCTTATTGATCCCAAAGGGAAATTAAAAGTCCCTTTTAATTCATTAGCTCATTAGCTGTATAGAATTAAAACCTAAACACGGTACACACCTCAGTAGATTTGTAACTTTTTGTTCATTTTCTTTATCTTTTATCTTTATCATTTCCTATCTTTTATCTGAAAAATTAACATAATCTTGCCATTTCACAACCAGAGTCAGTTTCAAAGCTTTTTGTTAAACCACACTCTTTTTAAATACGTTTTAAATGCTTAGAAACGAAACACTGACAAAACATTCCCCCCCCCAGCTCACCACTGGGGCAAAATCCTCTAATCAGGGCCTACCCAAAACTGATCAGTACCCTTACTATATATTTAATATTTTTCACTTTGTTTCGAATAAATGCATCTTTTTTTGTTTGAAGAACCTGAAGTGTGCCAGTCTCCTCTAGAGGTCACTGTTGCTCTTCATTGCACTGCCATCACACAGCTGTTAATACCCCAGAACACCACCCTCGCTGCATTACTTAGCCTAACCAAATGGTCAGGGCTGGGTGAAGTTCCCCTCCACTTCAGCTGCTTTTCAATAACATCATCTGTCCATGATCAGAAAGCCACTCATTGCTGGAAATGTTGGTGGCAACACGAAACCTATCACTGAAACACACGGCACAAGGCAGGACGTGCACTGAAGGACACGCGCACACACACACAGGCGCATTTTAGAGCCGCCAGTTGATCTAGCCAGCACCTGGAGAGAACACACACAGACGTGGCGATAACTTGCAAACTCCGCACAGATGGATGTCCCAGGCCAGACTCAATCCCCAAGACTCAACCTGTGTGGTAGTAGTGCTGCAAGCAAGATCATGCTGTATACAATTAAAAATGGACACCCCACGATCGCATGATTGACTGCACTGCGAACGGGCAGGTTGCGTGTCTTGCACGGCGCCACAAGTATGGAAAAGCAAACAGAGCTGGCTCTCTTCAAAGCCTGGTCCCTGCATGCTTTACGCGGGACTAACATTTCTTCAATCAGCAGGGGGAGTTCTCAAGACCCGGAGCTTGATGTTGCAGCCCCTGACAGACAATTACAGGAAGGGAGAGGTCGATCCAGTTGTCGCTGGGGCCCTTTCTGCTGGGGTTTCTTTCTTGCCATACTTCCTGCCTTTGAAGCGGTAATCAACTGTCATTAAGCCCCTGTGCTCCCTTTCTAATGTGCAGAATGTGGGATAAGTATTAACAGTGATAGAAGCTCAGGCATTTTTACAACATACAGTAACAAACGCTGTATTGAGATTCATTTTATCTGTGCTAAATGTAACCGAAAAACATGTTTCACTTGGAAAACGTTTTCACAGCTCTTTGTTCGAATTTAAAACGGATCTAAACAAAGTGAAGACTCTTTCAGCTTCGCCAACAAAAAGCAAATGAATTAAAAATTAAAATCAGACTTGGCTGGTACCAAATAAGCACTTGCACAAGTGGTGCTGTTTAAAATGGGGATGATTAAAAACTATTCTAATTGTGTTTTAGTGCAATGGATGCCATCTCCCCACCACACATCAACAATCTCGAAAAAGGGCGATTGAAGGTACAGAGGAAAAAACTGAACTCAGGTTTGATAGTGTCTCCTGGACATTTTAGATAGGAGTCAAACTTTGGTTCAAATCCTGTTAAAAATGAGTTAATAACATGAAAATGAAAATATCAAAACCAAGCTGCATACGAGACCTCTGAAAATTTGACACTAATTCAAACCTGAGCTATCAAACTGTGTGCAAACCACAAACCTCACCTGAGTTCTTTCAAAGATCGATGCCTGATCCTTGTTGTTCAGTGTTGCGACATGTTTCTGCAGTTCAAGCTTGGCTTTGGATGGATGAAGACCTAATCAGTTGAGAAGAGATTTTGAAATTCACGAATTAAATCAAGCAGGACCAGAACACTGATATAATATTCCGACTGTCCTACAAAATCCACGGCGCAAAGTTATCCTGAAATCAGAAAAAAAAAATGGAAATTGGCTGATAAACTCTTAATTAAAGGAAAAGGAAACAGTCTTAAAATATTTTAGAATCACTAACACTTACAGTAAATAAAACTTTCCAATCCTCATTATTTGTAACCCAATACAGCCCCTGTTTCCTGTACTTCAACCAGCTCTTTGCCTTTGTAACTTAGAACAGCACATGCATCAAAGAAAAATCACGTGGTGTCTACTAACTGAGCCGCTGCTTGGTATTTGTGAAAGCGCTAATTCAGTCTTTTTCTCCCAGGAGGGCTGTTTGGCTATATTCATTTTCAACTCTTTGCAAAGCTTGGAGGGATGTCTGGGCCTCTTCCTGGGTTTCCTGGGCCGACGTCATTACCCTCTATCCTCGCGCACAGCCTGTGGAGGTGCTGCATGGGACAGCTGGCGCACTGCAGGGCCTGCGTCCTGGAACTCTGCTGCCCGGCCGCCACGCTGAACGCCTGCTTCAGGGTCAGCATGATCTCGTCCACCTGCAGCACGGGGACACAAACGCCTTCACGGGCTGCGCAAAGACGCCCCGGGCCGGAGGAACTCTCCCTCCACAAATTCTCAAAAACCCCCCAAAAGGTGCTGAACTGAAAATACTGCGTTCTTGAGCCTGATACAAGTGGAATCTGGCTTATTTTGATCATTTGATCCTATTTTGCTTTGTTGATGGCATTATGGGATATGTGTGAATTATAGTACGCGTGTGTGCCAGTCATAGATATGTTATGCAAAGGAATAAGTAATAGGTTTATTTCATAGCTAAAAGAGAAGAGTGAAAACACAACGTTTCGCTGTGAAGTCTTCGTCAGGTGTGAGCATAGGTATAGCTATGTTACTGCTTGTAAGATGCCTTGGCCACACCAACAAATATTCAAGATGAAGTGCACGTAATACTGAAAACTGATAGATTAATATCCAAATATATAGATAAATAGATTACATTTCTGTACTCACCAGATCCTCATCAAAATTTTAAAAGACACTAGGAGACAGTGTCACTATACAAGCCCTGTAACATGGTTTGTACACGAATAAAGGAGGTTCAGTTGAGCTGCGGTTCATTCTGCTGTGCCTGCCCGGTGGAACTCATTGGCCGAAAGCCCAGCATGTGGGATGTCCAAGATTCCATTCCTGTGACTGGCAGGTACTGCAAGTCAGTCAGTTACATGGCCGCCTGGTGCATAGTTTTACCATAATGCTGAAGAGACTTTCTCCATTGTGCATGGAAGCTTCAATTATAAAATTACTATTTTGCATCTTGGGATTGTTGATTTTAGGCCCCCGCATCTCAGTTTCGCTGTGATTTATGGGACTATCGTGAGATGTTCCTTCTGATCACATCCTGACTTTACACCAGCACATCTGCTCTGCTGCGGACTGAAACAGCTTCACTTCTGCGCACATCATTCAAGATGGAGAATACGCCCTAAAGCTCAATGAACATTTTACTTTCACTGGTTTGGCAGTTCTCCACGTCAGTGTGGTCAAGGTCCCTAGGCTGACAATCAGGCTTTTATTTAATTAAAAAAGATGAATGTTCTTCAGAGAATAACAACTAACGATGGTCCAAAAACAGGCGGGCAGTTTTCAGACATTTTTACACATGAAAAAAGAATGCTATTTAAAGCATTCTTTTTACAATGATAATGAAGTCTATATGGTATGATGAAAAGCAATGCAAATGATGGAAAAACTGGAGATGTTTGCTTTTAACAACACCCAACACGGATATTTCACACCAACTGACAACAGTAATCACAAGAAGGATTCTGAGATTCATAATAGCGTGTTTTAAAAATTAAAAGTGTAGTTTAATTCCTGGCATATCTCTTTAAGTGACTTCAAAAGGGCAGCTAGTTGATTTAGAACAAGGAAATTTGATCCACATGCAGCTCAGACTGTGGGGGGCCCATTGAATGATAATGGTACCACAGCTGGTTCTACATTGGCTTATATTATCACCATCTATGTCCATGATGGAGGATATGAGAAAAAGCCTTTGCTGGGGTATATGGGCAGTATCCATTGAATCCTGGTTTCCATGGTGTCATTCCTAGGTGACCTCTAATTCATTGCTACTGCTACACAGTACAAGGTTTTCACAATACAGCTGCCTGAATTGGTCAGCACACTTTGCAAGTTCCCTGTGTATTTCATAAGTAAAACTGTACAATGCACATCCTATCAAGATCCTATCAACTCGCATGTCTTCACGAAAAAGAACATGTCATGTTTCGCATTGGTTGCCTTGCACTGCGGTACACAAAACACTGGTCAATTTAATTCAGGCGTGTTGTCCAGATGGCCAGCGTGATCTCTTACCAGTGCTTCATTGGTACACTGGAACACATAACAGACAAACTGGCAGGTCCCGTTTTCTAAAGACTCCCTGCAGATGAATCCAAAGTGGTCCACATGCCGAATTCCCTGTGGCGGGGAAAAGGAAAGTCCTTCATCACTACCAGAAGTTAAGCAACCTTGGTCTCGGAGAGTCTCAAGCCCAGAATCAAGTCCTTAACATAAGTCATCTTCAGTTGGCTATTGTTATATGAAGATGAGGAACCCTTGTTTAAGCAGATGATCAATTAAACAATTAGTTCAATGGAGAGAAACACTGGTCCTTGAGGGCAGAAAGATATTCTGACTTTGATTCTAAATGATCTCAAAACTACTTAATCGAAACACCCCCCATGACCATAAATAACCATAGGCTGAATTGTTCCAGGCCTTTAAAAGTAGCCTCTAAGTCATCAACTTATAAAACCTGCTGAACGTGGACTCTGCAGAATCTGAGATTGACCCTCCTGCTTTACAGAAAGGGTGACCAGCCAGACCCTGCAAGTCTAGCAGGCTTTCTACTGTATGGATCCTTTAAATGTCCTCCTTGAACACCTGAAGGCTTGTGACACACATTACTCTTAATTAAATCATTACCTTTGGTTTTAAGCTGTTCATTGAGTCCTTAAACCCCAAAAGCTTCTGGCACTACAGCTGCTGAGGAGCGGAGTTGGATATTCAGGTTACAGAGAGCCCTGATTTTCCTGATAAATGCCTATAGAACAAGTTATTCCTGCCTGAAACTCAAGGTTCTGATCTCTGCTGGAATGAAAACAAGTAAGTCCTGGATGAAGACTCTACTTCACAGAATCAGCATTCCCACCTTAGAACTAGTTTAACATTAACATTAACCTGGTTAGTTTAACATTAACCAGTACCCTAAATCAGGATGTGATTAAATGGGATCCTTTAATAGTGTTTCAGTTTCAAAAACTGAAAATTTCCCCCTTTGCGTGTTCACAGGCAGTGTTTTAAGTTTGTTTGCAGGTTCACATGTTGTGGTTGTCTATAGCCAGTAGGTGTCTCCATTACTTAACCCAACAAACAAGACAATTTCAACACCAGACATTAATGCTTAAGATTTGTCAGTATAAAACGATGACCAAGAAGACAGGGATGAGATGACAAGCAGACCCATCCAGCATAAGCATGAATGAACTGATCTCAGCACAGATATCAGGTTTGTAAACTAGGCTTGCGTTTTATCTAGAGGTATTGGAGAAGCTTGGAAGGCAAACATGAGGGTGAGATTAATCCTGTGTGCATGAGAAACAACAACAACCATAACAATAATAACAAAACTACTACTATTGAAGTAGCAGTAGTATTATAAATACAGGATTACTTACCTGAGAACAGAAGGAGATTTCTCTGAAGCTTTTTTCTATGGCAACTTTCTTTGTATCTGGACTCACGATGAAGATTTGGGACTGGCCAATCTGCAACAAATCAAATGACAATTCCCTGAGAGACAGAAAGCACTCAGTGTTTATCAAATTATGACACCTCTAATGTCTGTAAAACAGATCATGGTTCCCACTTTTTGGAAGATCCATAAGAACCTAAAGGTTATAATCAAGAAGAGGACATTCGGCCCATTTAGTAGTAAGTGGTAAACTGATTAAAAGTTTATCCAGCTGTTTCTTGAACGAAGCCCGAGTATTGGGCTTCAACAACAGGGCTGAGCTGCTCATTCTTTGCACCTATATCCTGTTAGGTAAAGAAGTGACTCCTCTTCTTGGTTTTAAACGCACTTTTCTGTTCTTTCTGCTTATACCCTCTGGTTTATGTTTCACTGTTTATCTGGAACAGTTCCCTTGGTTAACACACAATAAACAGAAGTGGTTACCAAAGAGGGGTTTCCACATTATTGTTTTATTTCAAAACATGTATGTTTCTTTATTAATTTTAAGTTTCTCCCGAATCCGACATTGAAAGAAAACCATCCTATATCCATAGTCGGTACCCTAGAGGCTTGTGGCTTCAGCAACCAACACTTTAACCAACTCTGAAAAGGTCAGCTGGCACGGTGAGGACTCTTGGCCTTAAACTTGGTCTAAACCCATTGGGTTATTGTCCTTCTTGCAGCCAAGAGGGACAGAACGGCCAAGAAAAACTGATCTTCTGCACTCTAGAAGAAAACTCTGCAATTAGAAATTGTATACCTGGACTACACATTTTGATCTTAGACTCCACTGACCACGACCCAGCTACAGAAAAGTATTTTGAGGAAAAAAAAGTGTTTGACACCATCAGGCTCTGTTCTCTGTAGCATCTGGTAGACAACCAACATTAGGACTCACTCTCGCTTTCCTTGTCTCAGCTTGTTGTACCTGTGCTTGGTCATCATCACTGTTGATCCATCAGTTAAAATCTAAGATTTTTTTAAAAAAATCAGAACCTTTGGCATGGTTTAAATTTATATTTTGCTGATTTCTACAGAAACACTGTTCTAAATGACAGAAGAAAATTAGTCATTTAAAAATATATAACGATGGCATTGATTTTCAAGAGGGCACAGACTGACTTTTCCTTTAACACCACATATACTATAGCTTGTGGAAAAGTTCAAGAAAAGTGTTTCAATTGGCAGAAAAAAAATTCAAAGATAAACATAAAAAATAATGGCGTTTTTAAATACTGTCTTTACAAACTCATCAGGCTACTTTTTAACTGCAATATGAGAACTGTTGGTGTTTCAACAGCAGTCCACTGGATTCAAAGTTCAAGAGTTTTCCTGGTTTAGGGCACTTTAAATTCAAGGTTTAATGTTTGCAAGACATGGTTTTGGCTTCCTACAGCTGATAATGGAAAGAAATGAGTAACTGTAGCAGAGAGATCAACAGCACAGAACAGCGTATCTATACCTGAGCGTCACCATTCTGGAAACCAGAAAGTGTTATCATCATACAGATTACTGTTTTGCAGAATCAAGGGACTGAAGTATCACTTTCTGAATAACCGAAAGCTTGTGTTCATCACACAGAAAACTCGATGAAGTGATTTTTAGGTCCCCTCTGTTGAAATGTTCTGAAATGTGTTCTTATTGATTGGCTGCGTGATACAAGAAATCTTCCCCATCTCCACTTCTAGTATTTGTTTCTTTAAAAAATGCAAAACATTTTGTAATTACCTGATGGATCTTGTTCCATTCTAAGAACCTGCTGGGGCTTGACCTCCTTATGTGCTGTATAGCCACCCTGTGAACCTTTTTAATTTACAGCTGAGCTTGCAACCCTGTTTACTTACCCTATTTATTAAATTGTTAACTATAGATACCTTTTTTGATGGTAGATGGTTTTGCCTTAAATATTTCCCTTCCATTTCCTACCACTTTATCCAACACAGGGTTGCCAGAGCCTATCATACCATGCAACAACCACAAGGCAGGATACACCCTGGATGGGACGCCAGTCCATCACAGAAATGCCTCCCTTCTAGAAGCTAATTCCTCTACAGGCAAGTGGTGAGCTAATTTATTCAGTCTCAGTCACTGCTTTCTGACTTTCTGTGCAGGGCTTTCTCACACCCACACAGGTACATCTTTTCCAGAAAATCAGAAAGCTCTTTTCGACCAATTCAGACACAATCGCAAAGCATATAAGGCTAGATGATAGTGAAATACTGTCAATATGGCATACACCTCCTAATCTTGCAGTTATCACCTTGCAGCCTGAACTCTCTCCTGAAATCTCAGAAGCTAAGCCTTGTTAGCAAAGGAGCTGTTCGCATCGGTCCAAAATGTCCAAACTAACACTGAAGTATGGTGGCATTGACACTGATGTCAGAGGTACTGTCCTTCAGATTTGACATGAATGTCACTGTTTCCAGAAGACTTTGGCATTAAAGATGCCATGACACTGTTCAAATGAGCAGGGGTGTTAACCCTAGTCTCCTGGCCAAATTCCACTCTGGGATTGAACCGTCTGGCCAATCTCACCAGTTATTCAAATGGTGAAGCCATTTCTTCTTGCTCCACCTAATCTCCTGCTTCATTTAGTTTATACACTATATAAATATACTGAAAATATAAATATGCATATAAAACAAAACTAAAATAAAAAAGGATTTTATTACATCGTAGTTACCTGCTAGTTTATTACCAATTCATTGGGCTGATACATTAATCAAACTACATTTGCACCCATTTATACAGGTGGGCATTTGACTGGAGCAATTCGGGTGGCACACCTTGTTCAAGGCTATAACACAGCCATGCACACCTTTCCAGAGAAAGAGTTATTTTTTATAGGAAGGTTCTGCAAAGTGCTGACAGTTAATCAAAAGAACAGAAAA